AGTTAAGCAACTTGAATTCATTTGCCCCAAATTATTAACCTTGTTCTTTACATCATAAAATAAGAAAACACTGTGATTTATATTTACATTAGAAGAACATTTTGGAAAACAAATTAATATAAAACAAGAACAGAGAGTGGATCTTATATGAGAACTATGTCAAATTATGGACTAATCTGTAGAATGATTTGTGGACCTTATATGGCCAATTATGGACCGTTTCGGAAAAAATTTCGCAGAGTGAATTGTATAAACACACAATACACTCCTGTTGATTTTGATCGCCATATTTTTTTGTCAATGAAATTGTAGGTATGTGCGTTTAATTAATTTTCGAAAGTGGATATTCTATGAGAGCAATAAATTTTAAACACATTTATGACAAATTTTATACCGATATCTCTATTTAGTAATGAAATACGGAAGGAGAATTCATATGGAAGCTATGACCAATTACTATCCTATTAAAAACTTTTCTACACTTCAGATTAACGTATTGTAATAATAGCCCAGCAGTTCGACAAGGAGTTAATGCATCCGAAGACACACAGCGAATGTACTTTATGTACGCGAGAGCAGATACTGTCTTTACTTTATCATCCCGAAGCAATCTAGAGAGTAGATACTTTAAATAAAACTTAAGCGAAAATGTTCATTTCCATGTATTGACCCCTTTGGACTAGCTTTCTGACTGCTTCTCTGTAGTCCTTATAATGAAGATTGACTTTTTTCTAAGGCAAGCACATGTTAAAATTGCAAGTCTCCTAGGCAGTCCGGAGCCTGCGATAGTCCTATGTGCTAAGTTAAATAACTAGTTCAACACTGTACCCAAACTGCTGGTACGTATTAATTCACATAAATTTTTCTGACGTATACATGTTATGAAACATATACTAAAACATTACAGTGTGTTGAGTGTTATATTGCATAGCATATTTTAAGGCACTATTGAATTGTATTGATTACACTACACGTTGGTCAATTCCGGCCAAAAATGATTTCTTTCAATTATTTAATTCTGATAAATTTGTGATGGTAGATTATAGCTAACACTTCAAATCATACAATTTAAATCATATTTTGATTATTGCTTAACGTTGTGACTGTTTATACATATACAAACTTGATAATATTTTGCCTGTCGTTTTAAGGTTTTTAAATTAGATTTTAGACACCTTTACATAAATGAAGGCTATGATTTTTCTTTAAAGTTTTTCTTTGTAAATTAGCACGTGTTTTACAGTAGTCTTAGTAAGTAATCATTCCATGTGGTTATTGCGATTTTGTGCGGTTTAATTTTTTGGATAAATTAAGTGATTGTGACCTACTTTAAAAACTAAAAAAACTATACAAATCCAAATTTTGAAAGACCGTAGAAAATGGAAAGGGGCTATAAGAGGTTGGGTAAACATTGTATATACTACAGCTATATATCAGGAGTAAGTATTATACATTTCATCTGCAATTTCCTGCAACTGTAGTAACTAGAGCATTTTTAATGACTTCGTCTATTACAAATGCTGAACTTTTCCATATATTTCAACTTCATAAAAATACAGAACGGGACGACATATTATCAATAGTACAAAATCAAATGGAGTAGGGAAGGGTCAATTATGGACTGAACTAAATAAAATTTGACAGAAGGATTTTACCGCCTATAAAACTTGTTTATATTTATGTTTATGCAGATATTTATCACTCAGTTAAATCCTTTTTCTTAAGGATCCTTATATAGGGGATAGGGTCAATTATGGACCAATTGTCATAAACTTTGATACACATATTTATGTTCATATAGAACATGTTTGTGTCGAATTCCATTGCTAGACAGATATTTTAAAGTCAGTAATGAGTGTTAAAGTAATTTTTGAAAGGAACCTAATATGGGAGGTAGGGTCAATTATGGACAAATTCTCATAAAATTTTACAGTGAAATTTAGGTTCCTATAAAACTTGTTTGTGTCGAATTTCATTGCAATACAGATATTTTTAAGCCAGTATTGAGCGTTAAAGTAATTATCTGAAGGGGACCTTATATGGTAGGTAGGGTCAATTATGGACAGACTGCCAGAAAATTTGGTCGAGAAGTATAGGTTCATATAAAAATATTTTGTGTCAAATTTCGTTGCTTTACTAGTATTTTTAACCCAATTATCAGCATTTAAGAATCTTATACGGGGACTAGGGTCAAATATGACCCAATGTCCGCCATACTATACCGTAAAATTTATGGGTGCATGAAAATGACTTGTGCTAAATTTCATGGAAATTACTTCATATTTAACGTATTTACGAGTATTTAAGGAGTTTTCTGGGGAGTCACTTGTATGGGGGCTAGGCGAAATCTTCAACCGATATTGCCCTTATTCAGTACAAAACAAACCTTACCTATAAGAAACATTTCAGCTATTTATTTAAAGAAATAAAGGAGTTATAGATTTTTGGCCGGAATTTACCACCGTGCACTGGTCTGCAATTTAACAATAAGTACAATAGAATTGAAAATATTAATATCAAAATATACATCTGCTTTTCCTTTCTTTCGATCACGCCGAGTTTTTGAAATATTGAAATTTTTTCCTTAACCCTTGTTTCACCGACCTCACTTCAAAATATATTTCTTTGATGCCATTATATTTGTAACATATAAGGTTATATACCTTAAAAATTAATTTATATATTTGAAGTTTATAGACTACTAAACGGCTGAACCGATTTTCTGAAATTTTCACAGTATATTCCTGTATGTGTGGAAGAGGTTATAGGTTACTTTTTATTTTGAAATTTCAAGTGGGCGAGGAGCCAATATCAATTAAATCAGTATGTCTGAGATAGTATAACAGTTAGAGTCCTCAAATTTTGTCGGAGCCACTTTAATGTCAATATGATTATTTATGACAAAAAGTAGGCGAACTAGCAGCAGGGGACATGGCGCCTCCCATATAAATTAAAATACTAAGTATGAATATAAAAATTGGTTTATCTTGGAAACTAAGTGTTATAGTTAGAACTATAATATTCATATTAAGGAAACTAGTAGAACTAAATTCTTAAAATTTCGCACGAAGATCTTTAATATTCATCTGAACATTTTATTGAAAACAGGGCGGACTTTCATTAGGGATGGGGAGGGTTGGAGTCCCCATATGAATTAAATAGAAAAATTTTTATATCTGAAAAACTATTACAGCTAGAATCTTCAAATTTAACATGAAGAACTTTGACATTCATTTGAACATTTATAGAATAACGGGACGGATTTTTAATGGGGCACCACCTATATGTATTAAATACAAAATTTCGTTTATCTGGGAAACTAATACATAGAACTAAATTCTTCAAATTTTGCACGAAGAACTTTATTTTATCATCAGAACATTTTGGAGAAAAAAGGCCGGACGTTCATTTGGCGGGAGGGCTTGGAGTCCCCATATGAAGAAAACATACAAATTCGTATAACTGGGAAACTGTTAGAACTAAAATAAAGATCAATATCTTAATATTAGTCTATATGCTTTTCGTTATTATGTTTACAAAAATTTGTATATTTGATACAAAATTTTTTGACTTTTGTATTATGATGGGCTCTAGTTCTCTTTCTATGATAAAATCTTGTTATGTTTTTAAACCACAGATATTTCACTTTTCCTTTGTCCCTCAAGTGCACTTATTTATTCAGCTAAAAATATTTGTAAAATTTGTATAGCTTTCACAAAATACATAATATCTCGATTGCTAATAGAGTAATTTTCAGAAAAATCACAGTCAATATAACCACATCCCTGTAACTTCTCTAGCAAATACATACACATATAATCAATAAAAGAATGATAGATAGAAACATCCGCGAAGTATGATTTCGATATTTGGCGGGGAATGATACCATGTTGCAAGGATTGTATGGAGTATATTAAAATAGGAACGAACTTTGTAGCTCTAAATTGAAAACGTGGGAATTTGTACTGACAGTAAACCAGCGATTAAATCTCTCTCGAGTGTCTGTTCGACAACTAAATTGGATCGTGAACGTCGTATATATCTTAACGAGATAGCGCAATATTTGAACCTGGATTTTTACTGGGTGCGGGTCACTATAATATATGTATGTACTTTACTTCAACTTTTATATTAATTTTTATACTAAATACATACATACATATTTATACCCTACACCACTACAGTAGGGAGGGTATTATGCGTTTATGCTGATGTTTGTAACGCCCAAAAATATTGGTGCTACATCCACCTTAATATATACCGATCGATTCAGAATCACTTTCTGTGCCGATTAAAACATGTCCGTCCGTCTGATCGGCTGGCTGGCTGGCTGTCCATGTAAACCTTGTGCGCAAGCTACAGGTCACAAGATATTTTAGTAAAGTTTGAACCATACGTGTTTTTGGGCACAAGGACGATGCCTATTGAAAATGCTTGAAATCGGTCCATTATTTCACCTAACCCCCATACAACCTGACCTTCCGATTTGGGGTTTTTAACTCATAACCTAAGTTTTATATCGGCATGTCGATTTTTGTAATGATCGGCCCCCATACAAGCCACCTTTAAAAATATCTTAAACGTCCAAAAATTTACTTATCACCATAAGTATCGCGATGAAATTCAGCATAACTAACCTTTATATAAAAATACATCCCTCCTCCCAATTTCTTGAGGATCGGCCCATATTTGACCCCAACTCCCATATAAAACCTCTTTTAGAAACTTTATTTTTATTAATAAATTGCTTAGATATAACGGAATTAAGGTACACTTGAACATAAAAGTTTATTTACGACTTTACTTTCCTAATTGTTTTATAAATATTTTGACCTAATTTAATACAATACTAAGCCCATCTATTTATGTTTTTTTAAATAATACAGTAAATACTTTCTAATCCTAATTAAATTATATCTTTATACCTTAAACATAACTAAATATATGATATTATTAACAGGTGTATACTTATAATGAAAGAATGCTGTGTTTACACTTACCAATAAAAAATATTGAGAATATTAAAAACAGCCAATAATCCATGTTTGTCATATTAATTAATTATTTTGTTAAATTTATTATTATATTAATAATATTTATAATTTATATATAGAGGTAGTTAAATATTTATACAAATAAAATATATTTATTCGTAATAATATTGTGTATATGTAGCACTATATAATGAAAACACTAAATACAATAGTTTTAATTGTTAAACCATTATAAATTTGTTAATTAAAATAAATTTTGGACTATTGTTGTAAAATTTTATTTATTTATTTTATTATTTTCGTAATTAAATTCATACACACATGCAATGAAGTGAGATTATTTTATTATAATATTTTTTTTTTAATAATTTTTATTAATTTTTTTATATAAAATAGCTGTTGGTGTTTTTATGATGTTGACGATTATTTTTATATTTGCTAGTTTTTGTTTAAATTTAATTAATTTTTATGATGTCGTTTGTTGGGGTTTTTTTTGCACTGTTGCTTTTGTTATTACAAATTAAGCATACATTATTTAATGAGTGTATAAATATTTATTTAATATTTTTCAAATATTTATAAAACATGTTAATATTTGTTTATTTTGCTGTAATGGCTGTTGTTGTTTTGTTTACTTTGTGTAAGGAATTTTTTATGAGTTTATTTGTTTTTTAAATATATTTTTATATGGTACATTAAAGTTAAACAGCAAACATACATGGTTGTTTGGGCATTAACAATGTTCTAGATTTTAGTATTTTATTTTCAGTTTATTTTCACTTTCTATTTTTATTTTATTTTTTTTTATTTATAATCCTTTATGGAAGTGTATTTTTTTTTTTTGTGTATGTATACCACACATATACATATTACATATGCAGACATTTACATGCACACAGATTTATATGCACAAATCCTTAGCTGTGTATGTAGTAGTTGTTTCTGGCAGTTATGAATGAAAAGGGAACCCTTTTAACATAATTATGCCTTTTATTTCATTTTATTAAGCGACAAGAAGTACGTCATAAAAAAGTTCACACAAAAAAAGACGAATAAAGAAAAGCAACGCTTTTTTGCATTTAAATGAAAATGAGAGGAAAAACGTTTGTTTTTTTCTGTAATTTATTTTATATGATGATGATTATCTTGGCTTAAATAAGTGTTGGTAATGGTGCTGTTGTTGCTGCTGATGGTGGTGGTAGCTTAAGTGGCTTGTTGCTCAACATCGGTTTCAGCCTTACCAGTTGTAGTGTGTTGGTATGTTGTTAGCAGTGAAAGGATTCGTAGCAATAGTGTGTCATTGGTAGTAGTAGCAATATTAAAAGTTTTGTAATTGTGTGCTCTACTCGTATGTATGTATTCAGTTATAGTAGTAATATTGCTGGTAATAGCTGCTGGCAGTAGTAACTCTTTTACTAGTCGTAATCATTTCATTTTAGTTTTTTTCTCACTAACAGACATACAAGCAAACATATAACGTGTTTTATTATGGCACCTTTTTATTATATATTTGTATCCTTTTAGTCACGAACTTTCAATGGGAGACGTTAACAACTTACGACAAGGATGCTAAGGATGTTTGTATTATAAAAGAAAAGAGTGAATGAGTACTACAACATGACACTTTTCTGTTAAAGGAAAATTTCTTTTTTTTTATATTCTATTCTTAAATTATAAATTGTATGGTTTTTTTTCTTCTATTAGACTTTGTTTCATAAGCCTTTTGTTTAGTTAAATAAACAATTAACTTAAACGTTTTTTAATGAAATTTTTTTCCTTTAGCATTTAAAGTTTTAAATACTAAATAGTTGCCTTTAATAAATATAATTGACCTTTTAAATGTTTCCTTAAGAATTATTATGTATAACTTCATTAACACTTCTTGACACTTTTTATTTAATTTAATTTTATTAATAATATTTTTTTGCTAATTGTTATTATTCTTTGCCATTTAAATTCATATTTATGTTTTCTATTTAAAAATTATCTTTAAAAAAAGACACTTTTTCTGCTTTAAATTTTTGCATACAAGTGTTGTGTTCGACCGTAAGTTAACGCACTGACTAAATTCTCAAATAAATCTAGTTGCTGTTTCATGTCCTGATTTTGTGCTATTTTCATAGTGTTTTTTTCTTTAGCCTTACTTTTTTTTCTCCCTATGTCTGCATGCAGTAAGCAATTTTTTCTGGTCTCTGGAGTAAAACAATATTTACGAATGGATAACACAGCATCCTTGACTCTCTTAAAAGTATAACATAGCGCTCTTTGCAGACTGTTAAATTTTAACAGTTTACACCCCATTTTACAGAGTAAACAGGACTCGTGTGTTATTCTCACACAATAAGATGCTGTAGTAATTGTTATACACAAGTAAAATGTTGTTTAAAAGTGTTATATTGAATGTTATCAAAGTTTCATACAAACGAAATTGTGTTATAAGATTTAAGCATTTTTTGTTCTAACACCGAAATGTTAGAAGTATTATTCAACAATATTGGTGATTGTTGAAACTTGTAGCTGAGAATAATGTTAGTTTTTGCTGTTCTACATACAGCTTGCTGTATTGAGCATTATATTAACCAACAAATTTGGTAAGAAGTTGATATTACAGATTAACAGAATTTTCCTAAGCTTACTAACTACATAGTAGATGTTAAATATTGAGAAAAAAGGGCAGCAATCACCACTTTGATTGACTTTATTGTAGGTTAGTTTAGGTTTGAAGAAGATCTGAAAAATACACCTCTATTTTGCGCTCCTCTTTATGGAAAGTTGGTGAGGGATGGATGCAATCTCCGCAATGAATACCATTCCACATTCGTGGAATGTTTTACCGTACATTACTATTGCGAGGAGGGTATTATGCATAATACCCTGCATAACACCCAAAAACATCCACCTTAAAGTATACCAAACTGTCCAGAATCAATCTCTGAGTCGATTAAGCTATGTCCGTCTGTCCGCTTGCCGGTCCGTCCGTCTGTCTGTCTGTCTGTGTGTCCATGTAAAGATTGTGCGCACGCTACAGGTCACAATTTTCAAGATAATTTGATGAAATTTGGGACATACGAACGCTATTGCAATCGCTCTATTATTTCACCTAGGCCCCATACAACCGTATCCCAAGAATAGGGCTTTTGAGCTCATAATTATGTTAAATGTTCTAGTTCTTAAAAAAAAACAACAAGTAAGAAACTATAGTCGGGCGTTGCCGACCATATGATACCCTACACCAATTGTGAATATTAAATGTAATTCATTTTCAGTAACAAAGCATTTATATTGAATCTTACATAGGTTCCAAATAATGCCCATGTATGCTGACTAGGAGATAAAAGACCGATTTCAATCATTTTCAACAGCCTTCGTCTTTGGATCTAGAGAAGGGTATGTGAAAAATTTTAACAAATTATATTGAAAATTCCGAGCTGTAGTGTACACACAAGGTCTATACGGTCACAAAGACGGACATAGCTTAATCGAGCGACTCGGAACCGACTAGTATACTTAAAGACAAATATTTTTGTGTGTTACAAACATCTGCACATTGTACCGAATTTTGGATAGATAGTAGTATTAGGCATTAGGCATCCTTATAAAATTTAATGTGGGGAATAATGATTATATAAAACTTATTTGTACAAAATTTTATCGTGATACTATGGACATGTGGTCATTCAAGGATTAAATTTGGTCCGATCATTACTAAAATTGACAGTGTTATTAAGGATTATATCAAACTTAATTATGCTGATTTTTGGATAGTAGTATATTAGACGTTGTTAAAATATAAAAGGCCCTAATCGGAAGGTCCGGTTGTATTGGCGCTTGGAGAAAAATTGGTCCGATCCTTATAAAATTTAATGTGGGGATTTATGTTTATATAAAACTTATTTGTGCCAAATTCATTGTGATATTAGTATTTATAAGAGAATTTTGGACATTCAAGTCATTTTCTGAAGGGGACTTTGTATGGGGGCTAGGGTAAATTGAGGCCCGATCATTACGAAAATCGACAGTGTTATTTACGATTTTATCAAATGTAGTTGTTTCAATTTTTGGGAAGATAGTAGTATATTTTACGTAGTTATGAACTAAAAGGCCAAAATCGGTAGGTTCGGTTATATGGGGGCTAGGGCAAAAATTGGTGCCATCCTTATAAAATTTAATGTGCGGATTTATGTTTATATAAAACTTATTTGTGCCAAATTCCATCGTGACTCTAGTGTATATAAATGAATTGTGGACATTCAAGTCATTTTCTGAAGAGGACTTTGTATGGCGGCTAGGGTCAAATAATGCCCGATCATTACAAAAATCTCTAGAATTATTAAGACTTGTATAACACTAAGTTTCGCCAATTTTTGTAGAGATAGTAGATCATTTAACATAATTATGAGGTCAAAAGCCCCATTCGGGGGCTTACAGGTGTAGGGTATCTGTCCGACTATACATTTATACTTGCTTCCTATATACAATATCGAAATTCTCAAAAATATGTTCTTAAAAATGATTTCCTGTTAAATGTGCCCACTGTAACGTTTTTCCTAAAGCGGAAAAAATGTGTTCCAAAAAATTAATTCTTTGATAAAAGTGTCTACTGTGACATTATTTACCTTGTGGTAATAAAAAGACTTTGGATATATTTAAGGACCACATAGGGCTATATAAATATAGAGCAATTATGAATTTATTACTGAAGTCATTTTTTTTCAGAATTGACCAAGTTTGGATGAGTTTGTTGAGACATTGTCCGTTTACATGAGCCAAATTTTAATCAACTCGAAAACACCTCAGCTCTAAACATGTGAAATTTCATTGCGATATATACAATAGTCCAGAGATACCGAACTATTACCAAAAATAAAAGCTTCTAAACTACTGTGCATCGCTCCTAACAGCGAAATGCTTTGTTGGTTCTTTATTCTATATGGTATTTCTATTTTAGTTAGTCCAAGCGGTTACTGATGTCTTCCTGTCTAAGAACCGGGGTTCTGTATGGTCAGGAATTTTCGTCTTTCTTGTTGGGCTTTGGGATTGAACTCAGCCGAAACATTAAGCATTTATAATGATTAAAATAGTTTTTCGGATAAACATTTGTGTGGATGCAAAGTAAAGTTAAGAACCGATATACATCTTTATCAAGCTCAATAGTACTTAGATACAAGTTTCATGGGATAATTTTAAAAATTGCTAACTTTTATTTGTGCACATTTCTTTTTATTAGTATTCTAGGAATTTTTATTTATTTTTGGATTTTATAAAGGCAATCAGTAATATCAGATGAAAGGTCATGATTAAAATGTTAGTGAAAATCACACTTGCACGATTGATATAAAAATAAGTCAAGCAAAAATAACTTTTTCATATTTTGATAGTCTTCTTGACATTTATGAAATCTAATAATGTATTAGAATGAAAAACCTTTCTATTTGTTAGAATCTTATAACATAAACTTCTACAATAAGTTTGTTTTATTATTTTCTTTTTATTTTGTACGAAATAAAATAAAATGATGAAAAGCATAAATAGTTTCTTTCTGTTCTGTAATATTCGAATCCAATTTTTCATTTGAAAATTAAAGGTATCGCAACCATGAATACAAATCATTTTGACATCGAGAATATAATAAGAAAGTTTATTTTTTTCCTTCGTCCCTTTTTTATTAACCATCTCTTTATTAACGGGTTTTCATACATAATATTTTCTTTGTCATAAACTACTTTATTTCATTCGTTCATTCATTTGTTCAGTCAGTCAATCACTCATCCACATATACGTTTCATGTATTATTTACTTTTAACACAAAAAATATGTACGTTTATGCGAGGTCAATCGTATTAGTGATTTTGGAATTAAGGAGTTCAATAAAGGATTATGTACTTATGAAGAGAGTAGTTGATAATGAATAACACGAATTTTAAAAAGTTAATATTTTTAGAATAATAATAATTCTTGTATTTTCTTACGAAATTTAGTACTAAGTCTTATCCGAAATCTTAAATATATTATTTCATTACCTTTTTAATGTATTTCCGAACTTTAAAATCTCAGGCCACTAGAAATTTACACAACTTATTCGAGTTGCTTCGATTTTGAATATATTTAAATGCATTAAATGCGACTTTAATTCTTCTGTTAATTTAAGTGACCCAATAGGTCACTTATCACCTCACTCTATTTAGTTCAATTTTAACGGACTTCTACTTTTGTTTTCATAACCTCAAAAGTCTTCGAGGTTTCCTCATTTCTCCTGTGCCCGTAATATTCTGCAATACTTAATGTCCTGCTCAGCCTGGATTCGTATAAAGAAAAAATAAATAATAAAATTGTTAAATGAATGAACGAAGAATACGACCAAATATTCTTGTAAAGATATTTACTTACTGACCTTTTCATTTACAGTCCTTTTTTTAACCCTACAAACATTTTTAAATTACAAAGTTATTTTTGGTCTTAGCAGACGTTAAGTCTTAGACACATCTTGTACACATTCCATCAAACATTTGAAAAACATAACTATTGTTGATATTAGCAGACGTTATATCTAACAAGTTAGAGTGCTATAATCGGCTGAGCCGAATCTTAAATACCCTCCACCAGCTACTTTTATATTAATACTTTTCTAATTGATCAAATATTTGTAGAAATAAGTTTTCTCGTATCTTAAATAGAAAAATCCCTAGATTCAAACAGCTCAAATCTATTACAATTCCAAGATTTATTGAACATTACCAACGCTTGGCGATTTTTATTAATTTGCATGCATGCATGTGTGTGAAAGATTTAAGGATTTTCAAAATACATATATATAATTTTGTTCTACACAAATTGATAATGCAACTAGTTAAATATGGTTTTAGGGGCAGGACCTAGTATGGGATATATGACCAATTATAGACCGATCGTAAAAAATTCTTTAAGCAAAACTTCTGGACATGAAAGCTATATTTCAGTAAAATTCTGTATCTATATCGTAATTTAGTAATAAGTAATGTGTGTTATGAACCGATCGTGCAAAAATCTTGAAATAGAATTTTTGTATTAATA